ATTAGACTTCCAATTATTCCTAGTAGAGGTAAAAATCCACCATTTACTTTAGCATTATGTTTAAGTTGTGCTCTACTAAGTGAAAGTGTTATACCAGTATTTTTTAGATATGCTGCTTTCATTCTGTTTCTTTGTAAAACTGTTAAAGCTATTTTGTGTTCACCATTTAGATCTTGATGTGTTAGTTTTATAATAGCATTAGTATCAGATTCAATTGCTTTTTTAATTTTTTCTTTCTGACTTTCTAAAAGATTTATAAGAGTATCATAGTATTTTGTCATTTTTTATATATGTAATATTTTTATTTAAATGATTTTTAATTCATCTTGGCTTCTAAGAATTATTTTTAATAGATTGCTTTCTGCAATGCTTTATACTCATCATCATCTATATGACCTTGTCTTAACAGCTCATCACAAATAGCAACAGCTTCATTTCTAACTCCAGTATTACCAGCTTGTAAAGCAGCTAAGCGTAATTTAAGCATATCAAATAGTGCATTTGGATCACTAGGAAGAATGATAACTCCTTTTCCAGACTTTCCAATCATCTCTTCCCAAATAGGTTTTATTACATTAGTGTATTTATAACTTCTAGATGATCTTGGTTTAGCTAAATTTAAATCAGAGCGAATTGCATCTGTTTGATCTAAAATTTCTTTATACTTATTACAATCATCGTTAGTATATCTAACAGGATGAGGTTTTACTATGATCTCCCAAAGACCAGGTGTTCCAATTTATTTTTTATCTTCAATAGTTATATCATTACCTTCAATAGTTATTGGTTTTTTACCAATGTAAAATTTTTTATCATCTTCATTGTAATGTATACCAAATATGTCATCTGATACTTTTTTACTATTTTTAGCAGTATATAACTTTAGATATTCTGTTGCGATAGCTCCTAATGTCATGTTATTTACAACTTCAGGTGGCATAATTGCTATAGTTTCAGTAATATATTCAGGATTTGAAAAAGTATTAACTAATTGATCAGCTTTATTTTCTAATTTAGATAAGCCTTCTTTTATTCCAGATTGGCTATCTATTATTGGTTTGTACAATTTTTCCAAGTTAGTCTGTAAAGTATCATCACCTAACTTTTCATTAATAGAATCTTGATATACACTTTTCTTTAATCTATCAAGTTCTTTTTCTATTTTTAATCTTGCTTCAATATCTGTAGCTTTTACATACGACATTTTATATAAATAATATTTTTTTTAAATCAACATACATTATGTTCATGTAAATACATAATATATGTTTTTTATTTAATTCTTAAGAGTATTATTCATCATTCCTATACTTTGATTCTTGTTAAATCTCATATTTAGCACTTCTATAACATCATTTGTACCTTTTTCTATTCCTTTATTAAATATTGACTCTTTAGTCTGCTCATCTATATCATTTTTAGATTTTGTTCTAATTTGTTCAGTGATAGCTTGAAACTTTTCAAGTTCTGAAAGGATCATATTAATTTCTACATCATCAATATATTGATCTGATATAGCTTTAGAAATAAGACTACTTATTGTATTTAGTTTTGCATCAGCTAGTACTTTAATTTTTTCATGCTTTTCTGCTTTTAAGTTTAATTTTTTATTAGCTTGTGATCCTATTAAATTTACTGCTCCTATAACTAATGCAGCAATCTCACATCCAACAGCTACTGGAGCTAATACACCAGTTGTTAAACAACCAACTCCAGCAGCTCCTAATGCCATAGTGCTTGCTAGTAATGTATTATCAACTGCTGAAATGATTCTTGAAGCTCTATGATATTTCTTACTTAAGATCTCTCTTCTTTTCCTTTCACATTCTATTTTATTTTGAATTTCGCTAATCTTTTGTAATCTAAAGTTATGGTCTGTTAAGAGCGGTGGTGCAGATGGATTTTCTGAAAACTGGCTAAGATCTGGATAAAGTTGTTTACATTCTTCATTTTTACATTGCATTCTTTTTATAAAGAAAAATTTGTTTAATTTATTTTTAAAAATATTTTTTTTATTTACCAAAATCAAATATAGTAGAGTCTTCAGCTTTGTCAGATTCATCTAAACTAGGATCGCTTTGCGATCTAGTATTATCTTCACATATAGTTTCTTTAATTATGTCTCCTATACTTGATAATATAGATTTCACAAATTCTTTATCACTTTGTGGTTTAGCAGAGCCTGAGTCCCTTTGAGACTTAACTTGTTCTACTTTTTTATCAGGCTCTAAAGTAGCCCTATGTGATATATAATTTGCATTAAAAACACCATTATAAAATGAGATACAGCATAACAAATCTCCTTTTTTAATATTTATATCTTTCTTATCGTTATTATATAAAGTTATTTTAATATCCTCAGTAGACTCTATTACTATAGAATTTAGTAAATTTAGCGTTGGCTTATATTTTTCTGCAAGTGAAATCAATACATGTCCTTTATCTATTTTAACTCCACACATTAAAAAAATGTTATTATATAAATTTGATTTTACTGTAA